TGGATTAATATATGGCAAGTGCACAGAAGAGCAAAATAAGCTCTTTAGAGTGTTAGCTGAGTATTATGTCCAGCCATGTAGAGCTACTGCAATCATTCATCCTGGGTTTTATAGGATGAACCGATACTTTGAGGGGCCATCAGACCCTATGTCGTCATTACCCTGGGAACAGTCCACATCCATGCCCTAACACGCAGGATAGTCTCAGAGCTGAGAGTCTGGTAAAAGCCCTTTGACAAAACCTGTAGGGGCTGAGGATTTCTCTCCGGGGTGAGTACTTGTAAGCCACTAACTAGTGCTTGAGCTGGATATGGCTGCTGATGAATGTACTTACAAAGCGTGCTACGATGCTCCTATTGGTGGTTTTGGTACACAGAAAACTCCAGTCTCTGAAGATTTCCTAGTCCCAAATTATTTAGAGAATGGTGTTAACACTTTGCTGTGGAGACAGAACCTATATTTCACGGGTATTTAAGCAATGTCGGGATGGGAGAATATAGATCACAAACTTCTTGGTGGACATTTTGGTACTAATGTTTAACATGCTCATAGCCTTTTGATCCAGCATTGGAATTTTCTAGGACTTATCCTATCGAAATGCTTAGGTACGCAAAGAGTTATGTTTAAGAATCACTGAAGAATCACTGGAAATTACAAACAACTCTATTGACCATCAGGTAACAAAATGCTTGACTCACCTGTGCAGAGGAAGACTTGCCACAAAGGAGAGGGATCTGTAAGTACTGACTGGAGCATCTCCAAGGTATATGACTAAGAAAAAAATATATGGGACACGATTTATGGGAACAATTGCATTTTTGTTTTTGAAAGCAGTGATATCTGTTAGTATTCATTTGAGAAAAGGGTGAAAGGAAAGAAAGATCTGGAAGGATATGCACCCAAATGTCAGTGGTGATCCTGACATTTGGTAGGAGTGGAGGGGAGGTTGTGGGAATTTGTCTTTCTTTGTTACATATACATTGTTTTAATTCATATAACATGTAATCAGGAAACACATAGGTGCGGCCAGGGCATCCGTAGCTGAGGGCTCCCACCCCTCAGCACTCCCAGGGGGGCAGAGGGCCAGTACAGATGTTCTTGTGGCATCCCCAGCATGTGTTGGCGGAGATGAAACAACTTCTTCAGGGGACCCAAAGGCTGGGGCTCACACGTCTATATGAGCCCCTGGGTGTGCTTCCCAAACTGGGCTCTAGTTGAAAGGCTTTTGCTTCTATACTCATTTGGGACGGGGGAGAGGCCCCACAGTATTTAACAGATATTCAAAAGAGTCTGTCTTGGGACCCAGGAGACTTGGGGCCAAATCCCAACCAAAGGAGTATAACCATAGCTTGCTTCCTTTCTTCATGAGGTTTGTGAGACTCAGACAAGCTTATGGATGAAAAATGACTTTCCAAACTAAAGGAAACACAGGGCAACTGATCATGCTATTCTGTGTCCCACAGGGACCCAGAGCGTCACCTGGGGGAGGGGAGGCAACCGCTGAGCCCTCCTCGTGGCACAAAGCTACTGAGTCAGTATAAAGAACTGTGGGGAGAGACAATAGGAAATGACCCTTGAAATAAATGGGTGCAGCCCCTTCCAGGGCTGATGGTGAGGGTCTGCATCCTCTCTTCACTTACCAGCATGTGCAGACGTGCTGAGCACACAGCCCTGAGCTCCGCCAGTGTGGAAGAGTGCAGCAGCCAATATTCTAAGAAGACAACTTCCCAACCCCCAAGGAGCCAGTCAGCTCCAAGCAGAGTGCTGCATGGAAGTCAGAGGCGCTGTGCACTGCAGTGAGGCTGCTGCATGTGACTGCAGAACGTCTGTGGCTGCGGAACTTGCTGGAGGACACAGCCAGGCATGCAGAGGTCATTCCAGGGGAAGAAGACTCCCCTCCTTGTCTGGGAACCATGGCCACCTCTCACAGCCTACCCTGAACTCAGCTCCCATTTCTAGCCCTCTCCCTTGCCACTGGAATCCCAGCTGACATTTTGGATCTCTGTGCAAAAAGCCTGCAGAAGCCAATCTGGTTTTGTACAGGTCAGATGAATCATCCCCAACTCATTCCTACCAACTGATCAACTGTCAGACGTCTTAGCCATCCCTCCACTGCAGCAAACCGCTGGTGAGAGCCGCAGGCAGGTGGCAGGCAAGGCTCCATTCACTCGCCCTCACACAGACAAAGGGACGGAGCAGAGGGGTGAACGGAGGGCAGATCAACACATTTGCTTTTCTCTCTCTTCTTGGGCCAATGAGGAGGCACTGCTGCTGCCAGAGAAGAGGGTGGTGAAAAGAGATGGTGCTCACTGCTTTATTTTGTATGAGACAACATGTGGCTGCGTATGCAATTCTTTTCGGTTATATGTATTTCCTATTTTACAGCATTTATCATCTTGGCTTTAAAGCACTTTCCAAAAATGATTGAAGGGGCTTCAGGTAGAAATCGGTCTGTGGCTGCTCCCCTTACTCAGAGTGGTGCACAAGGCAAGGCTTGATGTGATGGGCACATCCCCTCCACTTTCCTCTTGCTCACTTTGCTGCAGCCACACTAGTCACCGGGCTCTTCCCCAAACCTGTCAGACACACTCTTACCTCCAGGCCCTTGCACATCTGTTCCCTCTGCCTGGAATGTCTTTATGGTCACCCCTTCACCTCCTTCTGATCTTTCCTCAAATATCAACTTCTCAGTGAGGCCTTCTCTGGAGAAGTTACCTGACAGTTCCCACTCCCATACGCTCCTCAATCCCCTTCCAGACTCAACTTTTCTCTATAGCATTTAACACCATTTGACATTCTGTCTCTTCTATTATTTACCTTATTATCTGCCCCTTCCACTACAAAGTTCGCTTCCCCGAGGGAAAGGGTTTTGTCTGCTTTGTTCACCGCTGGGTTCTCGGTGCCTGGTGCAGCATCTGGCACATAGTAGGTGCTCAATAAACTGTCTTTGGTTTGCTTTCCTACCCAGCAGACCCTGGAACCTCAGCCCTTATATGTGGATAGGTGGGCAGAGCCACAGGACAGTAAAGGAATGGAGAAGGGTGAAGCAAGGACAAGGATATTAGGAAACGGAAAAGTTATATGTGTGGAGAGATGATAAGGAGCAAAGTGAAAGTTAAGAGAATTCTGATTAAATAACAGAGGACTTATAGAAGGGCAAGCTTGTGCCAGGGAGGAGAACACCACCACAGACAGGGGAACTCTCCCGAATGTCCAGAAAGCCTAACCTGACGCTTGAGCACAAAGGCTGGGGCTCGGCCGCAGCCACAGCTTTGGGCCTCCTGCATGTCACCTGCTACAGCACCATCTTCTGTAGGCCAAGGGGGCTCTGGTGAGCGGGCCTGGAAGAGGAGGAAGAACTAGGAAGGGAAAGAGAGGAGGGAAGGAGCCAAGTAAGACAGGTGAGTGATGTAGGGGAGCCTGGGTGACAGACCACTGGGAGAGACTGGAGGTGACAGGCCAGGAGCATTTCAGCAGGAGAGATGAAGGGGGAGACGGGAAGGGGCAGGGAGAAGGTGGCCTTGGAGGGAGACAAGATGGGCAGCAGTGGGAGGCAAGCACAAGTATATCGTTATAACATACAGCAGACACCTCACAGGCCCGTGCAGGGAAGTGTCACCATTGCCCCTGCAGTTCTGTGCCTTTTTGTTTTCTTCAGTTTTGTGTTTTTACTATCCTACAGTTCTCAGTTCTCATGCTCTTTTCCAGAGATGGATGGAGATTTTACATATATACATATATAAATTATATATTTTATATATATATATATAAATATAATAATTTGGAAACTTAATTCTGGTCATGTTTAGGAGGGTAACGCTGAGGTGTCTTTCCCTTGAATTTGATTTTAAAAAATCAATCTGAAATTGAATCTACCACAATCATCAATAAAGCAAAGATGCTTTTAGCTACTTGCCTAATATGTCAAATTAAGAGGCAATTAATAAATGGAGATGCAGGGACTAGGATGTTTCCTGAGGCATTTCCAAGGAGACTAGGTTCTTAGAATAGAGTTTCTCAGTCTAATCAAGGTGATCAATTAGGACATGTCCTCAGAACTGGAATGCACTTAACGCAAACACAGTTGTACACTAAACCAATCATCTACTATATTCAATCTGATTATATACAGTGGGTTGTATGGAGTCTAGTTAAAGGAAGGTGAAGAAACAAGAATTTTTAGTGCCTGTCCATCTGGTCCAAAGGAGGTTCTTTGCTAATGTGAAAGCCCCAATCCTGATTTTCTAGACATCCTTGACTTGGAGAATGGAAGTTAATCCAGCTACCCGAGCTGAATGGAAATATTCCTTAAAATCACTATCTTTGCTCTAATTCTTTGCTCACTAAGCTAATCTGTGATCCCTAACTATAAGTTGACCTCTTTAAAGGGATGCTCACCACAAAGGTTCTAAGCTAAGAGCTGTATCTATCATCTGGGGAGAGAAAAATATCCTGCTGTTAACTGGCAAATGGGCATACTTGTTTATAGATCCTTCAGTTGCCTGGGAGTTTGGGGAAATTGTCTTTTGGTTCCCCTGGGGCTGGTCACCTCAGAGCGTGGGGATGAAATCCTGTGATAAAATTCTGTACCTGGCCCTGCAAAGCTGAGGACTGATCAAGTAGCTCTGAGTTAGCCTTGTCAAAGTGCTGACAACATGGAGGGCTTTTCAGAAACGCCCGGTTTCTCCTTCTTGTCTCCTCTTAGCTGCAACCAAAATTCAGCAGCCAAAATATATAAATAGAGTCCACAGTGCTACATCTGAAATGATTTCAATAAACCTAGAATCAGGTAACCAATATTCACTTTCCAGCACACATATAGTACTAACTCATTGCCTAAGCATTCATCTTTCTAAAGGGGCAGAGGGCCGAATGCAGGATATACACTCTGTCATCTGAGATGTCTGTGGCTCTTTTCTCCTATAACCAAGGGCAACTCCATACAAAGAGTAGCAGAGGGACTGAAAAAAATGGCCCGGGAGGACAAACACAAGGCTTACCCATCTTCTCTGGAAGATGCAACCAGCTTGAGTCTCTTTTCTGGAGATTGAATCCTCTTTAAAGCCATAGCTTTCCATCTCGATAGCAGAGGACCAGATTCAGACCTGCTTTTCTTTCCAGCCAGGGTAATTTTATTCCATTCTGCATGTTTTCATAACAATTTCCTTCCCCTTCTACCTCCAGCTGCATTTCCATACTCTGAAATGCTTCTTGGGCAGCCAAGGATGACTAGCTCTGCTGCTCCCCACTCTCACAGGGAAAAACAACCTCACCATGAAATATCAATACATGTGACATATGGGTGGTCAACCTCTTCTACTCAAGTCACAAGAAGAAAGTGGCCAACTAATCAAATTCTATCATTCGTATTAAAAATATACTTCTATCAGGTAGACATCCTTCTCTAAATGTTATAGGCCAGTGAAAAATGCGCAGATTAATGAGATTTGTAATCATTTTTCTTTTAATGGCACACACTTCTGGCTGGATACAGGATGGCTACTTAGATGCTTTAGGAAGCTCAGCTGGATGACACAAATGACCAGAGACATAAAGCCATCTCCAGTCAGCCATATTGCCAGCATCAAAGAGACAGTGGGGCCACCTGCTGAAAGGCTTGGGAACTGCTCTGGCTGCTTGGTCCCTCTCTGCCTACTCAATGTCCTTTGAGCCACCCAGGTCTATGGCAGGACTATGATCTTTTTCTCCAGCTTCTGTGGTGGGAACAGGAAGTTTCTCATTATTTCATCTAGCTCTTCCAAGGCCAGCTGGGCATGGAGCTTGGCCACGTCGTCGGGTTCCAAATGCACTACGTGCTTCAGCAGGTGGTAGAGATCCTTGAGGACATCCTTCAGCACCTATACAAGAGAAACAGACTCATGAACGTGTGTCTACTGTGTCAACATTTCCAAGAACGACCAAACTGCTTTTTGTCTGAGGAGTTCTGTGAGGAAACTCACATGCTCCCTTAAGAAGATAATGCATGCCCCTCTCAGGCTGGAGACAGAGTGAAGGGCAGCTGTACTGAGATAGGCTTCCCTTTGAGTTTCTCATGCACCCCCTCCCCACCACCCCTCACTACACTGGCCTTTGGGGCTGCTGCTCCCCTTTGGCCCCAGGCCAAAGTATACCCCTTCCTTCAGTCCCAAAGCATGGCACAGACCTCAGAACCACAGACAGGCAATACTACCCAGATATGGTTGCTCCTAGTGCACAAAATTACCAGCATTTTTCTCTCTAGCTCCCACAAAGCCCTCTGCTGACATCCATAGAAGAAGGCATCTATCTTATGAAACCCAGGAGACTATTTCTTCAGCAATCATGTTTTTCCTTGCCATTACTTTAAAATTTTTTGGGCC